AACTGATCATGTGACTATTTGGCCGATAACTGACCATGTGACCGATAACCGACCATGTAGCCAATAACTGACAATGTGACCATGTAGCCAATAACTGACCATGTGACCGTTAACTGATAATATGACCAATAACCAACCATGTGACCGATAACCAACCATGTTATCATGCAGCCGACAACTGACCATGTGACCGATAACCAACCATGTGACCATGTAGCCGATAACTGACCATGTGACCGATAACCAACCATGTGACCATGTAGCCGATAACTGATCATGTGACCGATAACCAACCATGTGACCATGTAGCCGCCGATAACTGACTAGATACTTTCAATGCCACTGAAATCTTTATATTAAAGTGCAGTTAAACTCCAAAAACACAACATTGGTGTGAGGCCTCTCATGAGATTTGGTTCAAATGGTTGTAATTGCCTACAAATTGCTTTGTGTATGGCCGTCATCTGCCAGAACTGTGTACATGCTGATTGCACCTCCACCCTGATCTGAAATACCCTATCTCATGATATAAGATGGAGTGTCACCCTCCCCCACCCCCATCTCTCATTAGCTAAAGGAAGTCTTCTCATTAGGAACTGTCCCTGAAGTTCTGGTTGTCGGCGGTAGAAGCGATCGTTCTGTTAGAATCTGTCTGAGGTTCAGCTGACAGCCGCGTCTGATTGTCTCTGTGACAATCACATCATTATATCGTCGGAGGTGGGGTCGGTGTCACAGTGCCTGGGACTGTCGGGTGTCACTGCTTCCTGTCACTGCTGTGTGGTGTCACCAGGATCGTCCCATTAGTGGTGGGAATGCCAGGGGACAGGTCATTGAGTTCTTTCGTTGATCGGTAGGTGATGTTCTTCGTGATTGGTGCTCGATTTTTGCAAGAAATTGCATGTGCTTATTTACAACAGACTTTGTGAAAGGGTAGACTTACTATGTTCCCCTTGATTGTCCACTTGGGGGGCTAGCCAGGGGCCCCATTTTCCTAAAAGGGGCTTTTATATTCCCCCACTAACCACTGGGCCAGAGTGGTGTTAAAGAGGTCCTTGTCCTCACCGACATGTTGATGGCCTGTAGACTGCCAGTCTGTGTGCCCAGATTAGGGGTCTGGTATGGATTTAAAGGGGACCTCATTCCCTTTTTTTTGCAGGGTTCCCACTTACAATATACACTATATTGCCCGTAGTATTGGTCAGCCGGCCTTTCCACACACATGACCTTTAATGGCCCCCCCAGTCTTAGTCCGTAGGGTTCAATATTGAGTTTGGCCCCGCCTTTCCACACACATGACCTTTAATGGCCCCCCAGTCTTAGTCCCATAGGGTTCAATATTGAGTTGGCCCCGCCCTTTGCAGCTATAACAGCTTCAACTCTTCTGGGAAGGCCGTCCACAAGGTTTAGGAGGGTGTCTATGGGAAGGTTGGACCATTCTTCCAGAAGCACATTTGTCAGGTCAGGCACTGATGTCGGGGGAGGAGGCCTGGCTCGCAGTCTCCGCTCTAATTCATCCCAAAGGTGTTCTATGGGGTTGAGGTCAGGACTCTGTGCAGGACAGTCAAGTTCCTCCACCCCAAACTGGCTCCTCCATGTCTTTATGGACCTTGCTTTTGTGCACTGGTGCTCAGTCATGTTGGAACAGGAAGGGGCCATCCCCAAACTCTTCCCACAAAGTTGGGAGCATGAAATTGTCCAAAATGTCGCCTTAAGAGTTCCCCTCACTGGAACTAGGGGGCCAAGCCCAACCCCTGGAAAACAACCCCACACCATAATCCCCCCTCCACCAAACTTTACATTTGGCACAATGCAGTCAGGCAAGTACCGTTCTCCTGGCAACTGCCAAACCCAGACACGTCCATCGGATTGCCAGACAGAGAAGCGTGATTGGTCACTCCAGAGAACACGTCTCCACTGCCTTAGAGTCCAGTGGCGGTGTGCTTTACACCCCTGCAAACTGCCAACTCACTGCTAAGAGGAGGAGCTGAACTGCCAAGTCACTGTTAGGAGGAGGTGCTTAACTGACAAGTCACTGCTAGGAGGAGGAGCTTAACTGACAAGTCACTGCTAGGAGGAGGGGCTTAACTGCAAAGTCACTGCTAGGAGGAGGAGCTAAACTGCCAAGTCACTGCTGGAAGGAGGAACTGAACTGGCAAGTCACTGCTGGGAGGAGGAGCTGAGTTGGCCAGTCAGTGCTGGGGAGGAGGAGCTGAGTTGATATGTCACTGCTGACAGGTCTTGCATCTTCCAGGTTCGCTGGCATCGGCCGTTTGAATGGCCAAGCCGTGATGACAACACCCCTGTGCATGCCTATCAGAGTCACGACCATGGCACAGCTCTCTCAATGGTTGGCATTGAGCATGACTGGCTCAGTGTTCTGTGTACAGCGCTGCAGTATATGTCAGAGCTATAGAAATGTATAATAATAGTGTGTGACTGTGGGGGAGGGGACATTAGAGTGTAAGCTCCTCTGGTACAGAGACTGATGTGACTGTGGGGGGAGGGGACATTAGAGTGTAAGCTCCTCTGGTACAGAGGCTGATGTGACTGTGGGGGAGGGGACATTAGAGTGTAAGCTCCTCTGGTACAGAGACTGATGTGACTGCGGGGGAGGGGACATTAGAGTGTAAGCTCTTTGGTACAGAGACTGATGTGACTGCGGGGGAGGGGACATTAGAGTGTAAGCTCTTCTGGTACAGAGACTGATGTGACTGTGGGGGATGGGACATTAGAGTGTAAGCTCCTCTGCTACACAGACTGATGTGACTGCCAGGGAGGGGACAATAGAGTGTAAGCTCCTCTGGTACAGAGACTGATGTGACTGCGGGGGAGGGGACATTAGAGTGTAAGCTCCTCTGGTACAGAGACTGATGTGACTGCGGGGGAGGGGACATTAGAGTGTAAGCTCCTCTGGTGCAGAGACTGATGTGACTGCGGGGGAGGGGACATTAGAGTGTAAGCTCGTCTGGTACAGAGACTGATGTGACTGCGGGGGAGGGGACATTAGAGTGTAAGCTCCTCTGGTGCAGAGACTGATGTGACTGCGGGGGAGGGGACATTAGAGTGTAAGCTCCTCTGGTGCAGAGACTGATGTGACTGCGGAGGAGGGGACATTAGAGTGTCAGCTCCTCTGGTGCAGAGACTGATGTGACTGCGGGGGAGGGGACATTAGAGTGTAAGCTCCTCTGGTGCAGAGACTGATGTGACTGCGGAGGAGGAGACATTAGAGTGTCAGCTCCTCTGGTGCAGAGACTGATGTGACTGCGGGGGAGGGGACATTAGAGTGTAAGCTCCTCTGGTACAGAGACTGATGTGACTGCGGGGGAGGGGACATTAGAGTGTAAGCCCCTCTGGCGCAGAGCTCTGACACATACTAGTTGGGATGGAGGGGGTCTCGGTGTGTCCATGTTCTTGGTTCCCCTCTATTATACGGGGTGCCGCCTGGGCCTCATCCTGTAATTGGTGTGACATCCTGGTATGGAGGATTAGGAAGGCGGTGGCAGTTGGTGGCAGTTAGGAACGCTCGCGGTTTGTCCTGGCTCTGAGAGATAAAGCTGGAGGAGAGGAAATCCGCGGAGTATAGAAATCCGGCTTTCCACTCTATAATGTACTTACTGGAAGATGTGACCTCTCTCCGCTTTGAAGAGAAGAGCGTGACAATGTTCTTCATGTGGGACTCGGTGACACCATCCTGGAGGTTTAGTGCTGGAATGATTCCCGGGACCCAATTTATTAATATCCATAAACCTTAACGTATAGTGCACCTCTCTCTGGTCTGCTGGGATCTGCAGTGCACCTCTCTCTGGTCTGCTGGGATCTGCAGTGCACCGCTCTCTGGTCTGCTGGGATCTGCAGTGCACCGCTCTCTGGTCTGCTGGGATCTGCAGTGCGCCGCTCTCTGGTCTGCTGGGATCTGCAGTGCGCCGCTCTCTGGTGTGCTGGGATCTGCAGTGCGCCGCTCTCTGGTCTGCTGGGATCTGCAGTGCGCGCTCTCGGGTCTGCTGGGATCTGCAGTGTGCCGCTCTCTGGTCTGCTGGGATCTGCAGTGGACCGCTCTCTGGTGTGCTGGGATCTGCAGTGCGCCGCTCTCTGGTCTGCTGGGATCTGCAGTGCACCGCTCTCTGGTGTACTGGGATCTGCAGTGCACCGCTCTCTGGTGTACTGGGATCTGTAGTGCACTGCTCTCTGGTCTGCTGGGATCTGCAGTGCACCGCTCTCTGGTCTGCTGGGATCTGCAGTGTACCGCTGTCCGGTCTGCTGGTATCTGCAGTGCACCGCTCTCTGGTCTGCTGGGATCTGCAGTGCACCACTCTCTGGTCTGCTGGGATCTGCAGTGCACCGCACTCTGGTCTGCTGGGATCTGCAGTGCACCACTCTCTGGTCTGCTGATATCTGCAGTGCACCGTACTCTGGTCTAGATTGACTTCTTTAAAGAGAAAGGTTTTCAGGATTGTCTAAAGGTGGATAGATTAAGAGATAGCTGGACAGATTGGGGTAGGGAGTTCCACAGGATGGGAGAAGTGCGGGAGAAGTCCCTGGAGGCAAGCTTGGGAGGAGGTGACACGGGAACTAGAGAGCAGAAGGTCTTGTGAGCATTGAAGAGAGCGGTTTGGTTGATATTTTGAGACCAGGTTGGTGATGTAGCCGGGGACAGAGTGTTGGATGGCTTTTTAAAGTTGTTAGTATTTTGAATTTGATTCGTTGGGCGAGAAGAGGTCAGTGGAGGTATTGGCAGAGAGGGGTGGAGGACACTGAGTGGAGGTTGGTGGAGGGATTGGAAGAGAGGGGTGGAGGACACTGAGTGGAGGTTGGTGGAGGGATTGGAAGAGAGGGGTGGAGGACACTGAATGGAGGTCAATGGAGGGATTGTCAGAGAGGGGTGGAGCACACTGAGTGGAGACCAGTGGGAGGGATTGGCAGAGAGGGGTGGAGGACACTGAGTGGAGGCCAGTGGAGGGATTGGCAGAGAGGGGTGGAGGACACTGAATGGAGGTTGGTGGAGGGATTGGCAGAGAGGGATGGAGGACACTGAATGGAGGCCAATGGAGGGATTGGAAGAGAGGGGTGGAGGACACTGAGTGGAAGCCAGTGGAGGGATTGGCAGAGAGGGGTGGAGGACACTGAGTGGAGGCCAGTGGAGGGATTGCCTAGAGGAGTGGAGGACACTGAATGGAGTATGGAATAGTGACCATTGGTTTTAGCGGTAAGTCGTTTTTGAGTTTGAGGAGAGCAGTTTCTGAGGAGTGTTGTGGGCAAAAGCCAAACTGAAGGGGATCGAGAAGGTTATTCTCACTAAGATGGCAGCTCAGCCGGTTGTAGACTTGACCTTCAAGGAGTTTGGAGGCAAAGGGGAGTAAGGAGATGGATCTTAGGTTGCTAAGATTGGTGGGGTCCAGTGAGGACTTTTTAAGTATGGGGGTGACTAGTGCATGTTTTAGAGAGTTGGGGAAGATGCCAGTAGAAAGGGAGAGATTGAAGATATGAGTTAAAGAGTGAAGGATAGAGCCAGAGGGTGACCGTAGTATTTACGAGGGAACAGGGTCCAGGGGGCAAAGTGGTTAGGTGGGCTTTAGAAAACAGTTTACCAACCTCCTCTATAGTAGTTGGGTTACACAACGGAGGTATAGATTGTGCAGGTGGACAAGGAGTGTAGGGTGAGGGAAATGTCTGGTGGACAAGGAGTGTAGGGTGAGGGAGAATGTCTGGTGAACAAGGAGTGTAGGGTGAAGGAGATGTCTGTGGACAAGCAGTGTAGGGTGAAGGAGATGTCTGGTGGACAAGCAGTGTAGGGTGAGGAGATGTCTGGTGGACAAGGAGTGTAGGGTGAAGGAGATGTCTGGTGGGACAAGCAGTGTAGGGTGAAGGAGAATGTCTGGTGGACAAGCAGTGTAGGGTGAGGGAAATGACTGGTGGACAAGGAGTGTAGGGTGAAGGAGATGTCTGGTGGACAAGGAGTGTGGGGTGAGGGAGATGTCTGATGGACAAGGAGTGTAGGGTGAGGGAGATGTCTGGTGGACAAGGAGTGTAGGGTGAGGGAAATGTCTGGTGGACAAGGAGTGTAGGGTGAGGGAGATGTCTGTGTGAACAAGGAGTGTAGGGTGAGGGAGATGTCTATTGGACAAGGAGTGTGGGGTGAGGGAGATGTCTGGTGGACAAGGAGTGTAGGGTGAGGGAGATGTCTGGTGGACAAGGAGTGTGGGGTGAGGGAGATGTCTGGTGGGACAAGGAGTGTAGGGTGAGGGAGATGTCTGGTGGACAAGGAGTGTGGGGTGAGGGAGATGTCTGGTGGACAAGGAGTGTAGGGTGAAGGAGATGTCTGGTGGACAAGCAGTGTGGGGTGAGGGAGATGTCTGGTGGACAAGGAGTGTAGGGTGAGGGAGATGTCTGGGGGACAAGCAGTGTAGGGTGAGGGAGATGTCTGGTGGACAAGGAGTGTAGGGTGAGGGAGATGTCTGGGGACAAGCAGTTCCTTCATCCTCATTCTTTCTCTCCTTCATCTCTTTTCATTCTCTCCTTCTTCCTCATTCTTTCTTATTTTTCATCCTTCATTCTTCTTCATCTTCATTTCTTTCTTTTATCTTCATTCTTCTTTTCATCCTCATTCTCTTCTTCATCTTCATTCTTTACTTCATCCTCATTCTCTTTTCCTTCATCCTCTTCTATCCTTCTTCTTCTTCATTTCTATCCTTCTTTCTTCATTTTTTTTCATCCATTCATTCTTCTCCTTCATCTTCATTCTTTCCTTCTTCATTCTTCCTTTTCCTCATTCTTCTCTTCTTCCTTCTATTTCATCCATCTCATTCATCTCCTTCATCATCTTTTCTTCATCACTTCTTCTTTTTTCATCCTCATTCTATCTTTAATCCTCATTCTCTCCTTCATCTTTCCTTCTTTCCTTCATCTTCATTCTTTCCTTCATCTTCATTCTTCCTTCATATTTTTCATTCTATCTTTATCCTCATTCTCTCCTTCATCCTCATTCTCTCCTTCATCCTCTTTTCTTCTTCATCTTCATCTTCATCCTTCATCTCATTCTTTCTTCATCTTCTTCATCTTCTTCTTCTTCATTCTTTCCTTCTTCTTTTCATTCTCTTCTTTTCTTCATTCTATTCTTCATCTTCTTTCTTCTTCTTCTTCTCTTCATTCTTTCTTCATCTTCTCATTCTTCCTCTATCTCTTCTATTTCATTTTCTCTTCATCTTCATTTTATCCTTCATTCTTCATTCTCTTCTTTCTTCTTCTTCTTCATCTTCTTTTCTCTCCTTCATCTTCATTCTCTCCTTCTTTTTCATTCTTCTTTCCTTCATTCTTCTTCTTCTTCTTCTTCTTTCTTCTCTTCATTCTCTTCTTCTTCATTCTCATTCTCTCTCCATCTTCATTCATCCTATCTTCATTCTTCATCTCCTTCATTTCATTCTCTCCTTCATCTTCATTCTATCCTTCATCCTCATTCTTCTCCTTCATCTTTTTCCATTTTTTCATCATCCCTCTTTCTCTCCTTCTTCTTCATTCATCTTTCTCCTTTTCTTCATTCTTTCCTTCATCCTCATTCTCTCCTTTCTTTTCTTCATTCTTTCCTTCATTTCTTCTTCATTCTCTCCTTCATCTTCATTCTTTCTTCTTTCATCTTCATTCTCTTCTTTTCTTCTTCATTCTTTCCTTCATCTTCATTCTTTTCTCCTTCATCCTCCTTCTCTCCTTCATCCTCATTCTTTTTCCTTCATCTTCATTCTTTCATTCATCTTCTTCTCTCCTTCATCCTTCTTTCTCTCCTTCATCTTCATTCTCTCTTTCATCATTCTTTCTCATCTTTCATTCTCATCTTCATTCTTCTTCTTCTTCATCTTCTTCATTTTCATCTTCTCCTTTCATCTTCATTTCTTTTTCATCTTCTTCTCATCCTTCCTTTTTCTTTCCTCATCTTCATTCTTCTTCATCTTCATTCTTCCTTCATCTTCATTTATCTTTTTTCTTCTTCATTCTCCTTCATTCCTCATTCTTCCTTCTTCTTCATTTTCCTTCATCCTCATTCTCTTTTTTCTTCATTCTTCTTTCTTCTTTCTTTCTCTCCTTCTTCTTCTTCTCTCTCTTTCATTTCATTCTTTCCTTCATCAATTCTTCTCCTTCATCATCATTCATTTTTCTTCATCTTCATTCTCTCCTTTTCATCTTCTTTTTTTCCTTCATCTCTTCTTCTTCATCTTTATCATTCTTTTCATTTTTTCATTCTTCTCCTCTTCATCTCTCTCTCTTCATCCTCATTCTATTCCTTCATCTTCATTCTTTTTTTTTCTTCATTCTCTCCTTCATCCTCATTTTCTCCTTCATCTTCTTTTTATTCCTTCATCCTCATTCTCTTCCTTCATCTTCATTCTTCTTCCTTCATCTTATTCTCTAACCCCTTCTTCTCATTCTTCCTTCATCCTCATTCTATCCTTCTTCTTCATTTTCATCCTCATTCTTTTTCTTCATTCTTTCCTCCCTTTCCTTCATTCTTCCTTCATTCTTTTTTTCATCCTTCATCCTCATTCTTCTTTTTTCATTTCTTCTCTTCATTCTTCTTCATCATTCATTCTCTCTTTATCTTCATTCTTCTCCTTCATGGTGCCACCTCTATTCCCATCCTCCATCGCTGCCCCCCCCTTGAACCCCCCCACCCACATGATGAGTACAGGGAGGAGGGACACAGACAGTCCTGGACTCCCCGCCAGCTCTATATATTATGGAATCTCATTGTATATCAATCAGGAATTTTTTTTTTTTGTCGGTAAAATGAAATTCCAATTGGCTTTGATTGCAGCCGGCATTGCGCTGTGAATGGATCATCGTCCAGCTGTGATTTGTCAGCTTCAATCACACGGCAGGAGGAAGGTTTATATCCCTATAACTCTCAGTGATGGGAATCCTCTCCTCCAGCAGTGTAATGAGCTCACCCCCTCCCCCCACTATTAACACTTTGGTCCCCCCCCCGGACTCCTCCACATTATCCTGCCACCCCCGCTCTATGATGGAGTGGATGTCCGTAGAACGCCCCAGGCTCCGTGCGCTCCAAGTGAAATCACACCTGAAATCGCATCTAATGACTGTGAATGTCGTCGTCCTAACACATGCGATTTGCCGCGGCGCGGTTTCTAAAGTCGCTCTTGCGTGACTTTTTCTGCGATTTCACATACGTAGAATGTAATGGAAATCGCCACCGCAAATTGAAGGAAAATGTTGAAATTGTATTTATTATTTATTTTATTTCAGGTTACTTATACAGCGCCCTCAATTTACATATATATTGTACATTCACATCAGTCCCCCCCCCCCGAGGAGCGCACAATCTAAGGTCCCTATGCTCACATTCATACATACACATACTAGGGACAATTTAGACAGGATCCAATTCACCTACCAGCATGTCTTTGGTGTGGGAGGAAACCAGAATACCTGGAGGAGACCCACGCAGGCATAGGCAGGACATGCAAACTCCAGGCAGGAGGTTCCATGGTTGGGATTACGAACCAACGACCCGAGTACTGCCAGGTGGAAGTGCTAACCATTTAGCCACTTCTTTTTCTATTCTTTTAGTTTCTACTCTATTGTTTTATTCTATTCTACTCTTTTCTAAATTCAAATTTCAGATGACGGCTATATTCTTTCTATTTTAGTCTATTCTATTCTAATCAAGTCTATTTTTTCTGTTCTATTCTATTCTTTTATTTTCTATTCTATTCTTTGTGAAACTGGAATATCGGAAGATAGCTATATTCTTTCTATTTTTTATTCTATTTATTTCTATTCTTTTCTTTTTATTAATTCTATTCTTTTCTAGTCTTTTATTTTCTATTCTATTGTTTTGTTTTCTTAATCTATTCTATTCTGTTTTATTCTATTGTTTTCAAAATGCAAATGTATTCCCTTTTTATTCTACCTTTTGTTCCATTCTATTCTTTTCTATTGTATTATTATATTTTCCTTTATTTTCTCGTCTATTCTTTTATTTTCTATTCTGCCCTGTTCTATTCTTTTTTAGAATTTAGACCAAGCCAATTAACCTCCCAGCAAGTCTTTGGAGTGTGGGAAAGAAACTGGAGTACCCGGAGGAAACCCACGCAGGCACAGGGAGAACATGCAAACTCCAGGCAGGTGGTGCTGTGGTTGGGATTCAAACCAACAACCTGCGTGCTGCCAGCCTGAAGTGCTAACCATTCTTCACAAGTCGCAATAAAGTCTTCACACCGACATGATGGATGACTAAAGCCGGTTCACTCAGAATCTGGTGCAGTTCTGCATGGAGACCAATCAGCTTCCAGGTTTTATTGGTAAAGCTTAACCTCTTGGCGTTGGCCGAACGCAAATGTGCGACCCTCCCGGCCACTGGGCCTAGACACCGAGCGGCCGCACATTTGCGTTCTATTAAAAAAAACATATGTGCTGAGAGCACGCACCCTGCACGCTCCCAGCACACATGTCCGGTACTCACGGAGAGGTCCCGATCTCCCCTTTTGAGCAGGACCCTTCCCCGATCATGTGACAGCCATGACGGCGTCACGGCGGTCACATGACCCTAAAC